ACGTCTACGTTGCTGCACGTGTGCAACAAGAAAAACGCACCAACTAGATAAAACGTGCAGTGTCTATGTTGACATTCTCATCATAAGCTGTTGGTAGGTCCTCGTTTCCGCAAACATTAGATAAGCTATGCTGGAGCTGTTATTTTTCTGTCCAGCAATAGCCATTGCGTTTCTTGAGCTATCCACTGAGCATAGCTGTGCAAAAACCTCTCTTCATGCAAATTCCTATATATATTTATGCTCTACATAAGAGTCAAATTATATCCCCCCTGTTATTTCCGGGAAATAAGGGGTTACATTGATAGTCAATCATTGATTACCCGCCTTCCACATTTACAGTTGAAGTGGGCAAAATAGCCAGCTTAGTGAGTAGGAGATGATAATCACGTGCAATCAGAATCGCTCCCTTCGGTTATTCAGACATGGGGATGCGTTCAGTGTGCTTAGCCGCATAAAAGAATAAAAACATGCAACAAGCTCGAGACAGTAAACTCCCTAAGCCCGACACGAGGCAGCAGAAGCAGGATAAATATTTTGATTGGTTCACCAAGCTTACTTTTCGATTGTTCGCAAGACGTATGAAGCTCGCTGATGTTCTTCGATCGAGGATCGAGCGCACACAAGAAAAACTTTTACCAATCTTTGAGAAGCTTCCTGCCATTGTTGATATGCTCCACAAGGCTACCAACGAAAAGCAGACGGATTCGACCTCTATACCATCCACACCCGCCCAATTCCCGCCGTGCATAAGCCTTTGCGTTTAAAAACGATTTTGCCAGTGGCTGAAGTATTTGGCTGGGTGATGAAGTAATGGCTACGCTGACACCGGAGTTGAAACAAGCGATGGCATCAATGATCTTTGACGAAAAAGCAGTCGTTTTTTTTTTCAACTTCTGTGTGTGAACGAAGAAGAAAACACGGTCCAGACGTCCGAAACATCACTAAAATTAACGACTGCGTTCCGCGGCTCTGTGAGGTCGCAAAGGCACTCGCATTGCTGATGCCCAGCTCATCATCCGGGAGCCACAGCCCAACCCAGCCACGCCAGCGCACAGCGCTCCAAGACCTCAAGTGGTCCTAGATCATCCCGCACCCGTCGCGCCTGCGCCAGGGGCTTGCCGGACCGATTAGAGAGAGGTCCTTGACTCATTATAGTCGCGGCCAATAGCTCAGTGGTCGAGCACTCGCCTCGCAAGCGAGAGGTCGGTAGTATGATCCCGCTCGGGCGCATCTCTCACACCATGAGCAAGAAATCGTAGCGTTCGGGTATCGCTCTTATAGCTTCATGGTAGAGCGCTGGCTTTGCACGCGACAGGTCTGTGGTTTAATCCCACTCGAACCCACAATTACGAGCAGTATTGCATATGCAACAAAGCTCACGGGCGTCACTCTCATAGCGCAATGATAGATCTTAGGCTTCAAAGGCCAAAGGTCTGTGGTTCGGTCCCATCCGGGACACACAGCCATCGCTGTTACCACTTCCCTCTATGTTTGGACTCTCATTCTGAATCAGTTGCTTCGAAACACATGCGCGTCCATCACTCGAGCCTTATCCAGCAAACGCAAGGCTTCAGCATCCAGCGGGAATATATCCCAACACCACTAGGCCCTCCTACTTCTTGCTCCCATTGTGAACTCAGTGGTTGTTGTTAAGATTCACTGGAATAAGTTTTCACCCCCCAGTGCACTTACGCACCGTCCGTTGGGACTAATTTCATTTTCGGCTTTCAATAACAGGTAGGAAATGGTATCAGCCCCTTGCTGCCTCCACGTTCTACCAAGAGCGCAAAACACGGGTTTACTTAGCCCCACAATCCAGGTGTCACACGATAAGCATGAGACACAACTAAGAACCCTTCTTCGAATACAGCGACTTGTGTATACGGAATGTGATGATTAGTAGAACCGAGCGTTCTCCAAGGTCTGTATCTGCAATTGAACGTGCTGAATCAATGTCGCTCGCCGCTTTCTGCTCCGGCATGAACTTCGCAGCGTCGAAATTCTAGCATCGGGTTCAGATGCTCAAACGTGTTATTACAAAGACCTGAAAATCGGAATGTTACGACTACTGGGTCAGGCTTTAGAAGTATCCGATAATCGTCCAGCATATTGATCTTGTTGCTGTTGTAAAATTTTCTGGTCACTTATTTTACTAGTATCAATGGAATATGGAATGTAATGCACGACGATTAAACCGGTGATTTTTCGGTGCTAACTTGAAGTAGGGCTCTCTCGCGGTAATTGCGTTTTTAAACTACGATCTCGATATCGTCTCCTGCAATATCTCCTGCCACAGCAATTTCTCGTTGAAGGCTTTCTTCGACGCCGCTGAAGGCGATCCCTCTCCTTAGGAAAACATCCTGTTAAACAATTGGTAAATGCTGCACCAAGCCTACAGAAGTGGCACTCGTGGGATCACATGGAAATGATAATAATCAAGCATTCTCCGAATCTAGTATTGGCGGAATTGACGAATGTGCTCCATTCAGTGAGCTGAGCACATTCATCAGAGATTCGGAGCATGCTTGATTAGTATCATATTCACGAGACCCTACGAGAGCCACTTCTGTAGACATGGCGCACTGTTTACCACACCGTTTAGTATGATGTGTTCATTTCGAGCATTAAAATATCTCAGATAACTCTCGGAACCTACGACGCATGAGCGCCTGTCTCTCAAGTGAATTAGAAATCAGTTTGAATCGCTCTCAGACTCCATCGGCACTGGTTAAAGGCGTGAGCTTTGC